CATGACTTAAAATGATTAAAAAGAGTTTATGTAGGACCAGAGCTTCTTGTTGTACTAACCAGAACTTCTAGTTCAAAAGACAAGACCAACCAGAGCCTCTGGTTCAACGTGTAAGCCAACCGAGCCCCTCTGGTTTGTTTTCATGAAAGATTTCTAAGTGTAAAATTCTTTTCTTAAAGATTTCTTAAAATATGATTTTGACACAGAAGTTCTTATCGATAGATACAGAGCCTCTGGTCCAACTAATATTTTTAGTAAAAACTTGTATATTTCTCAAATCAATAACCATAACCTTCTGGTTCTATAGTAAGGACCAACCAGAGCCCCTCTAGTTCTTCATAAAATGAACATTCTATTCCAAAACACTTTTAGCCCAAACTAGTGGCCATAAGTCAAGTTTTCCCCTTCTTTATAACATCAATACTATTATTTGTAATAAGAACAATATCTTTGAGTTCTCAAATCACAAAGAAGTAAGTACTCAAATCTATTGTAATCTTAAAAGATATAATAGCAAGAGCTATGGTATCCACACACAATTGCCACCCTTATATCCAAAAGTACACATCTCCTTGATATGTCACTCTTATCCCAAGAGACACCTCTCCTTGATATGCCACCCTTATTCCAAGAGACACCTCTCCTTGATATGCCACCCTTATTCCAAGAGACACCTCTCCTTGATATACCACCCTTATTCCAAGAGACACCTCTCTTTGATATGTCACCCTTATTCCTTCATCAAAATTTATGAACTAATTCAGATGAAGGACCGCAGTCACAACCATCTTATCGAATCCTCATTCATAGTTTTCAACCAATAATGGTTTCCAAAACAGTTTTATCATATAAACCTTCTAACTCAAGAACAATATGTTCTTTCATAATTTTCCATATATCCATCTTCCTTTAACTCCTTTAAAACAGAATCTCGTTTTCCCAAAGCTGTTTTAAAACATAGTAACTGTTTTATCTTTCCAAGACAGTTTTAAATCCAAAATCATGAACATCTTGTTCAATCTGTTTATAAAACAATATCCATCAGATTTGTTAAAAACCCATGCTCACAAAAACCTAACAGTTCATATCAATAGTAAATTTAAAACTTAGGGGYTGTTTGGCAGTTGCTGAATGATTTAGTGCAGAATAGTTAAGAGGTCAGAATGGTTAAGAGGGTCAGAATGGTTAGTGCTGAATGAAATAATGTTGTTTGGTAACTGTTATCTGAATGACAATAAATTACCATTTTAACCCTCGTACGTTAATTAGGATGTATCATCATGATTTCACAACCAAGTTATGCATATACAACAAAATCATGATGCAAATACCCATTTATCAATAAGCTTACCATGTTAGGATGTATCATCATGATTTCAATTATTAACATCTTTTTGCTTATTTAACAGAGGTTTGGTTTCCAATTATTAACAACTATTAACCTATTAGAATCTTGGTTCCTTGGATTGTCAATCGAAATTAGAAGCACCCAAAGACACCAAGAAAGGGAGATGAAGGGGATGTGTTAGCTTCAATAGGGTTAGCAGAAGAATGGAGACAAGCAAATTACCATCAAGGATTGCAACAATGGAGACAAGCAATTTACCAGTACTGTAATTAACAAATTAAAGTAACAGTCCACAATGGGGGCTTATTTCCAAAGATTTTATACACCACAAAAATCAACTACATTAAACCAAAAAAATGACATGAATGATGAATCCAACCCTTTTATGTAACAGAATCAAAACTTCATAGCAACCCTAGAAATAGAAGAAAAGCCACATATCAGCAGAAGAAAATTCGAGAAACCAGCGAGGAAGAAACGAGCGATGAGAGAGAAACAGAGGCAGGAGGAAGAGATGAGCAGTGAGAGAAAGCAACAGAGGGCAGGAGGAAGAGACGAGTAGCAGAGAAGGAGGGTGGGAGGAGGGAGGAGCTATTGCATGTTGAAGTTTGAGGAGAGGGCAAAAATGGAAGAAGACCCTCTGAATCATTTAGGGGGAGCCCTAGCCCCTAAATCGTTAAGAGCCTTTTGTAACCATTAAGAGGTTCTCTTTTTTTGCCAAACAACCCTTACCTCTTACCGATTAAGAGGTTGGCTCTTAATGTCACCATTAAGAGCCAAACAAACAGCCCCTTACAGTTCAAAATCAACAGTAGATTAAAAACTCACCTTAAATAATCACAGATTCTGCAAGTTAAACACACAACAAATTCTTTAACTGTACACAGGTTATTCTTCAAGAACACTTTACCGCCTCAAGCTCTTTTCTCTCTTAAAATATTTCTTTTTCCAGAAACAGAAAGATCAGATAAGGTTTTTACCTTATCTCTTTCTTTTTATACCACTTAGTTAAGGCAGTGGAATCTTTATCCAATAGAAACAATTTTAGGTGGTGAAAGATAATATTTTTAAAATCACTCTTGCTTCATTATGAAGATATCGCATCTTCATTATTTTTAAAATATTTAAATTCTCATGTATGCTATACACCGCATGTATGCACGTATAATCTTAGCACCTTTTTCACAACTATGCATACCACACATGCAATTAATTAACTACCATGCACGTTATTACGAGGTTTCAAATAATAATAACGTATAAGTTACCTCAATCTAGGTTGCCAGAAACATGGTTATAACAAATATGACGATGATGAGAAACTCGACACTGATAACCTTGATGACCAAGAGGTTATTAGAATAATTCAAGAGACCGGAACTATTCAAATCAATCCGACATGGGATACCAATGAAGATTGATGAATAAATGTATTTTCAAATAATTTTATAATAAATTCTTGTAAAATAATGTAATTTTAATCATAATAAAAACGTATTTTTAAAATGTATTTGAGTGACTCATACGACAAATTTAATAACATAGTAAAAATATATATCATATAAGAATTAAAAAAAAATAAAAAAATATTTTTTATGGATGGGGCCGGTTGGGACCGGGACCGGGACCGGTAGCCCCATAACCGGTTACACTTAACCTTGACCGGTCATCACTTTCTCGACCGGGACCGATTACCATAGGTTACGAAGTTGCTTAGGCCCGATTGGGACCGGCCCGGGGCCGGTTTTTGGCCATCACTACTTCCAACTATGTATGACGACATCATCGAGCAGCTCTCGATACAAGTGAATGAATGTTATTCTAGATACAAGAAGTCGTTCAAATACGAGCATGTATGGGCAATCATTAAAGATGAGCCCAAATGGAGAGGGGCATAGATGATATTCATACAAAGAGAAAAAATATTGCATGGTAGTTACACATCATCATCAGGTAAATGTTGAAGATGAGGAAACCGACGTCCATCCCATAGGAACCAAAAGGGCAAAAGGGAAACAAAAAGAAATTACGACTACCTCAAATGCCAAAATAAAAGGTATGCAATATTTAATCAATAAAACTACCACTTTGCAGATGTCTCAGATAGATAAAGTGAACGAAAACAACAGGGAGTTGAGAGAATCATTCAACTGATCAAAGAGATTCGAAGAAATAAGAATCTTATCGCAAAGTATGGAAGACATGACAAACGAACAACTAACGTATGATAAAATGTTGTGTGACGAAACTAAGGTGAGATATGAAATTTAGGATCAGAGCTACTTTTTTAAATATCGTTTGTTGTAATGTTTTTAAATATTTGAATTTTAATACGAAGTAATATTGTTTTCGAAAAATATGACGTGGACTTTAAAACGACAAATATAATGAGGGGACTTTATAAAACATTTTAAATAGATAAGGATAGATTATTGATGTAATTGATGAAAAACCTTTGAAAAGGTTTTTACATCAAAGATAATTTATAAAAATAGGTTTTTAATTAAAAGATGTTAGTGGAAAGCTGAGTCTTTTGATGACTTTTGGAGATGCTCTAATACGCTTTCTCCTTCATGCTTCATGCCTACAGATCGACTTGGCCTCCCTCCTCAGTTCTCCAATCTTGATCGAGTTCACTCCTACAGAAATCGAAATCGTTCAACAAGGTAATTATTAATATCTTCTCTCTCCTTTGATTGACCTGCTGATTTTTCTCATGGATCATCGATTTTTGACGTAATCGATATCGRATCCACACATGACAACTGGAAACAACATCGATTTTTATGACTGATAACCATTGATTTTTGACCGGAAACACTCGACTTTTGACTAGAAACACATCGACTTTTGATTGGAAACCATTAGTTTTTTGTACTGTAACTTCATTGAGGAAAACATTTTTCGTACATAATTGTTTTGCAATTGAGGTTGTGTATCAACCCATGTCATATGCAATCAATAAATAGTTGATGTAACGAACTCAAGTTTGTTAGCATTTCATCTATGTGATTTATACCAYTGTGTTTACTCCATCCATGTTTTCCCCCCTCTTTTAACACCATTGAACCCACCTTTCTTGATTACATAAATTGATTCTTGAACATTTGTGTTTTAAAATGTGGTTGTTGGAAAACATTTGTTTAGATACTTTTTTTATTTATTTACAAATGTGAGTTTTTTTAATCAACATTTATTATAGATGTTTTTTATAGTTTTCAATATTGTTTGCTAATTTTTAGTTAGATAAATTATTTGATTAAAGAACATTAAACAATGCATTAGGAATAAACTGATCATTTAACCTGTTATGTCTGTTCAGTAATGTTTCACCAAACGTTGAACATTTGTCTTGTTTATCCTATTTTATTTATCATGTGTTATTTGCATACCCTAAATATACTTTGGCTATCTTTCTACATTGTTTTTCCATATTTTTAAAGTTATCTACATTAACTAATCGTATTATATTATAATTTAGACAAAGATTATGTAATAAATGGTTCAAGATTACGTAAATATAAAATTTACATTTAATATTTATTTCACCATCGATGTCGTCGGTACAGCCGCCAATTACCCACCACCTATTGTCGGCAGCTGTCGACTAATGAGCCCTAATTTGCATACTATCATATCACTTGCGACTCCTAATTCTCTGTTCTATTCGATCCCCAGTTACTCATTCAAACAATTTGTAAGGTTGAATTTGCTGGTATCATTTTTCGAATGGCTCACAATCAGGTTGAAGGTTATGCCCAACGGAAACTTTTTGCTGCCCACTGGTCCATGGAAGCTGTGGCTGTTGCATTAGAGGTTAGTCTTCTCTCTCGTTTGAAGCTTGATTAATTGTTTGTGAAGTGCTCATGAATTCCATGGTGATCCATATGTATAATGGCTGGGTCTTAATTGAACGTTTAAGCATTATCTATGTTTCTATTTGCAGAAAGGCGATGTGTTCAAATCAATATTTCGAGTGAACGCACATAATCGCGTTGAGGTATTTGAAGTATATATATATATATATATTTTTTTGTTATTGGTTGTTTATTCAGCAGCTGCAATATGTTAACTATACCATTAATGATATGTGTGCATTGCCTAGGCCTACTGCAAAATTGATGGAGTGCCGGTGGATATTCTTATTAATGGGATCGATARCCAAAATCGAGCTGTAAGTCCTTCGGATTGTTTCAATTTTTTTTTATCAATTTGATTGTTTGCATTGAGAATAGATATCCTAAGGATTAATCAAGTTGCACTGTATGGTGCCTCTTGTCAGTAACTTTGTGAAATATATAGATGGAGAATCATCCATGTGAGGTAAATCTTATTGAATTGATAAAGTTCATCTGTAAGGGTGCGTTTGGTAACGCAGACAGGACTGGACGGTGGACGGGACAGGACAGGACAGGACAACTGTTCAGCGTTTGGTAAGACAGGACATGACAGAACTGGTTAAAATGACCAATTTACCCCCCAGTGAGCTGTTTAGTGTTTTTTCACTACGAAATGCATTCTGGTAACACTGGTCCTACTACCACTACAGCCCTAATAAGTACTTCAAAATCAATGTAAACTCTCGAAATAAATTGCATAAAACCCTATTTAATCCAGCATTCCTAATCCTTGTAGCAGCAAATTAGTCAAATTGCACAACCCTAATCTTTCCCCAATTAAGAAATTGCATAAAACCCTATTTAATCCAGCATTCCTAATCCTTGTAGCAGCAAATTAGTCAAATTGCACAACCCTAATCTTTCCCCAATTAAGAAATTGCATAAAACCCTATTTAATCCAGTTATCATAAACCTCATTTCAACATCGTTGAAATAAAGAAAACGGAAGAAACAAAAAAACTCACCGGAGTATCGAAACTGATACAGCATTCCTGCTTGCAAATGGATAGCTCCTGCTGTTTAGATGATCGAAGAACGATGAAGTGAAGCTGGAAGTCGCTGCGTATTCGTTGCCCTAACGTTGATGGAAGTGACTCTGCGCCGAAATGGAGACCTAACCAGTGATAGAAACACAAACACAGAAGCAGCAGCAGTGATAGAAGAAGCAGCAGCAGCGGYGGCCATCGGAAGAAGCAGCAGCGGCGGCCATCGGAAGAAGCAGCGGCGGCGGCCATCGGAAGAGAATCTGGTGGGAAGGAAGCGATGGAGGAGAAGGGGGTTAGGTCTTCATGAGATGAGCCGGGTGGGGAAAGGGTAGTCARGTAAAAAAAGCTCTGTTCCACTTAGTTCTAGGGGGTAAAGGRAACAAGCGTGTCCCACTCTTATACTACCTAGTTCTACTTAGTTCCACATTAAGCCACACCAAACGTAGGACAAATYTGTTCTGTCCTGTCCTGTCCCACCCTGTCCAGCGTACCAAACACACCCTAATGTTCATGAAGGAGTTTGTTTCTGGTGTCTCAAAACACTTTTATTGAGATGAAGGAAGTGAGGAATTTAAATGAATATTACCCTTTAGGGAGTAAAATATTATTCCAYCCAATCCTCAACAAACTTTACGTTTAATATGATAGAGTTGACTTTTTAAGAACAACTCTAGGGGTTGTGGCACTCATTTGCTTACATTGTCTATCAAATTATATCCCCCAAAAGTATKGCAACAATAATAAAACAATGATTTTGCTTGAAATTGCAAACGCTGCGGTGATAATTAGGTAGAGCACCAAGAAAACATATAAACATGAATTTGTAGGGCAAATCCTACCTGCAGTTGAACTCATAGAGTTCTAACTCTATCAATTCAGTCACTTCAACATATTTTCTCATTTACTTTTAGTAACGACTAACGAACAATTATCTTTTTTATAGTCATTGACTAGTTTAGGCATATAGCTACTCACGAATGAGAATGACACATTGAAGTTTGTTTATGCATAAAGCAGCTTACTTGTCAATTCCGTAAAAGAAATTACTTCGGGGTGACATCTATGGCCACATGGCGTGTAACTAATTCAGTGGAAGGAAATGACAAGAAACAGACACATCTTAAAGGAAAGAACGATGTGATATATCTCATGATTTTCTTCCTCCCAACTTTGTCGTTTCTATGTTTAGGTTCATGAACCAGATTGACGCTGTTCCAATATAGGCCACAGAAAAGATAGAGCGACAGACAGGGAAATGGAGAGAGATTAACATCAATTGAATCTTAAGAATAGATCATTAAATATATGGATGAATTAAGAAAGATGATTTTTTCATAGTTTACAGTTTACAAATTTCCCAGAGTTTACTCTATACAGTTCATAAAGTTCCCAATATACAATTTTCTGAATCGGTTAAGTTCCGACTTAGAGCAAGATCTGGAAACTTGTTGTTTACTCGTTCTTTCTACTAAATCTCCTCCGATTGTGTGTTTGTGTATTGTATGATCCAGATTCCAGATTGTCCCTTTTTCAAGCTTTTGCCATTACAACCTGATTTATCTTTTCACTGCTTACTGCTTAGCTTGTGTTTAAACACTACTGAAAGGAATAAATTTTGTGTACTGATTCCATATATGATGCTGTGATTCTTATCTAGTGTGTGCTAAGGAATTAAATTTTCAGAAGTGAAATAAGGATATCCATGTTGTATTTCACTTATGGAGAGGATATCTGTATGAATAAACAGGAAGAAGGGGGTTTTGGATGGGCAGGGGAGTTCTGGAATATCAGTGTTTTTTTTTCTTTTTATATTAGTTTTTTGTACTAAGCTTCTTCATCAGTTTCGCATTAAAACATGGGAGTATTTATTGAATCTAAGAATATAGCCCACTAATTAATGGCAACAAATCTTATTACCATCACTGAAGTGCCTCCAGCATGCTATGCGCTTTTCTTGTGCAAATAAGTAAAAATTGAATTTATGGTATATGGAATTAGTGTGTGTCCAGCAAATGGAAGATTAGAAAATTGATGGAGATTACGATGGAAAGCAAGCGGTTGCACAGACTTTTCTTTATAGGGAACAAATTAGTAAGCTGCTGTTGGTAAGTTGGTTAGCGTACTTGCTGTGATGTTCCCAGGATGAACATGTTAGGAAGAAAGGTAGAATATGCTTCTTGCTAATGCTCTTGTGACAAGCWCTTGTGGTCTGCAGTATTTATTAAACATTAGTGTGCAGAGAGTGAAGTCTTGAAACAAAGCATGTTATCTTGTTGCTCCTTGTACTCATGCTAGCATCAATCTTGAGTGGCTGAGTGCATAAATGGTTCTATGAAATGGTGAAAAAGATGTATTTTGTTATAGTGAGACTTATCCGTGAGAGATGGAGTGGAACAGTCCAGAGTATGAGCTGTTTGTTTTCTCTGAAGACTTGAGATTGGGATAAAAGAAATCATTTAGTGATATTTAATAATCTTACTGTAGACAACACAATAGGATAAATTTATTACTCTCTTTTGACTTCCCCACACTGCAAAACAAGCACACAAGGAAGGGAAGTGTATCACATATATAGTACATATGCAAATACAGGGAGGGGTGGGCTGGGGGGAAGGGGGACCCAAGGGGGAGATTATTTGCTCTAATGCTTTGTACTTTACTTGATTAAATGGTTTCTTTCTTTGCTACTTCAATAAAACAGTACCTTCAGCTGCTGGAAAACATGGCAGAGATAGATAGAGAGAGATTATTAGCTTGAATGCTTTGTATGTTTKCTTGATTGAATGGTCATTTGTTTCATTCAGGTAGAAGGAGACATTGTTGCAGTCAAAGTTGAACCTTTTTCATCCTGGACAAAGATGAAAGGGACAATTGAGGCTTCCCGACATCCAGCCGTGGAGGATAAAAATTTGCTTGCAGGAGCCTTGGAATCTAATAATGRCAGCTGCAGAATAAAGAAAAGGGCAGATGCAAATATGGAGTGCGCTTGCAACACAAATGGGCAGCCTTTTCCAGAAAAGGATTTACATACCGTAAATGATAATTTTCATGGTCAAAATGACGGTCAAGAACTAATTAGACCTGCAAGTAATGGGTACATTGATGGAAATAATCAATTTGAGCTGGACCACTCAACGGCTTGTTCTTTTGGCGAAAGAAGAGAAGTTGAAACTGTAGTGGAGAAGTTGTGTACTATGATTAGTTCATTCCCATCAAAACGGCCAACAGGTAGAGTTGTCGCTATCATTGAAAGGTCTCCTCGTAGAAAAGCTATTGTTGGTTTTCTTAGAATAAAGCAGTGGTTATTTAGCAGGGAAAGTTGCAGGAAGGACATCAAGAAGGCTAAACTTCTGCTTTTATCTTCAAARCGTGAATACATCCAACTTATACCCACCGATCCAAAATATCCTAAAATGATGGTTCCTGTGAAAAGCTTGCCTAAYAGCATTACGAAAAGATTGGAGGACTGTGACTTAACACTTGAAATGGAACTTGTAGCTGCACAAATTATTGAATGGGATGAAGAGTATGATATTCCATGTGCTCATGTTGTTCACATTTTTGGAAGAGGTGGAGATGTAGAATCACAGATTGCTGCTATTTTATTTCAAAATGCAGTTGATTCTTCTGACTTCCTTCCTGAAGCAATGGCCTGTATTCCTCATGTTCCTTGGAGAATACCTGAAGAGGAGTTTCAGCATAGAAGAGATTTAAGGAACTTGTGCACATTTACCATAGACCCTGCCACTGCATCTGATCTTGATGATGCTCTATCTGTTGAAAGGCTGTCGAATGGTATTTACAGAGTAGGTGTTCACATTGCAGATGTATCGTATTTTGTTCTCCCACACACTGCCTTAGATGTTGAAGCCCAAATCCGATCTACAAGTGTGTATTTGCTGCAGCATAAATTACCAATGCTGCCCCCGCTGTTTTCAGATAATTTAGCTTCACTTAGTCCTGGGGTAGAGAGACTTGCTTTTTCTATTATCTGGGATATTAATCTTGGTGGGGAGGTTCTAGATCGCTGGATCGGTCGTACTGTTGTACAATCATGCTGTAAACTCTCGTATGAACATGCTCAAGACATTATTGATGGAACTTTGAATGTAGAGTGTCTCAACGATGCTTGTCCCCAACYGCATGGCCATTTCACATGGTCAGACGTGATTACTTCTGTACAGAATCTTCATGAGATATCTGGCGTTTTGAAAGATAAAAGGTTTAAAGATGGTGCATTGTCTCTTGAAACTCCTAAAACTGTTTTTTTGTTTGATGAAGATGGCATCCCTTATGATAGTSTTCTCTCCGGAAGGACGAAGTCCAACTTTCTTGTTGAGGAATTTATGCTTTTGGCTAATAGGACAGCTGCTGAAGTGATAACCAGGGCTTATCCTTCTAATGCTTTGTTACGGAGACATCCTGAACCGAAATTGTCAAAGCTTAGAGAGTTTGAGGCTTTTTGCAGTAAACAGGGTTTACAGTTGGACACTTCTACTTCTGGCCAGCTGCATCAGTCTTTGGAGTGCATTAGGCATGATCTGAAGAATGATTCCGTCTTGTTTCATGTTCTTATGTCCTATGCTACAAGGCCAATGCAGTTGGCAACATATTTCTGTAGCGGGGATCTGACAGATGCTGGTGATGATTGGGGTCATTATGCCTTGGCTGTCCCTCTTTACACCCACTTCACTTCTCCACTACGACGATATCCTGATATTATTGTACATCGAACATTGGCTGCAACACTGGAAGCAGAAGATATGTATATGCATCATAGAAGAATGTTGAATTTAAATGGGGAGAAATTGTTTGAAAGATGCTTCACTGGCTTGTCTTTCAACAAAGAAGAAGTGGAGGCGTTTGATGTTCAAAAAGCATTGTCTGATGCAGCAATGAAGCATGCAGTTCCCTGCACAGAATTACTTGGTGGTGTTGCTGCTCATTGCAATGAAAGAACACTGGCTAGTAGGCATGTCAAGGATGCTACTGATAAACTCTACATGTGGTTGCTGCTGAGGAATAGAGAGGTAATATTGTTGATATCAATTTACTTTGTGTAGTCCTTAACATTTTATCTCCATGCTGCCTTGCTGCCTTGCTGGATGACCTAGTGGTGATATTGCTTACTTGTTTTTCTGCATTTTGACAGTTTTAGCTGTTTGGCTTCTCCAGTTTGAGCAACTTTTTCATTTTTATTTTAAAAAAGCCTACAGCAGCTTGCAAACAAAGGCTAAAAGTAAATGCTGGAAATAAATGATCTTTAACTTGGTTTACATTMAAAAACATAAATGATCACACAACACAAGGCACAAGCTTGACAATGACTCATCAATGCAAATAATAGACTGATTAAACATAAATAACTGTGACCAACTCCACTAGTTTAAATCAAATAATCAATCCTCAACATCGGATGCCCTCCACTTCAAATTTATCCACCTCTTAATCTCACTTTAGAGAGCAAAACTGATAATGACAATAGGACCAAGTGATTGAAGTATGCTGTGTAAGCTCGTTCTCTTTGCAACCTCCAACCAATACAAACAACCCCAAAACAAAGCAAAAATGTAGAAGAATCTAGAGAAGACACATATTCATGCTCAAAGAAAACAAGACACAAAATTGCAATTTAAGCATTCCTGAGACAAATTTGTGRTAAGTTTTGGTTGTATCATAGTGGTAACTTGCTCCCCTCGTGTTGATTGCAGGTTTTCCTTTCAGAAGCTAGAGTATTGGGCTTGGGACCAAAGTTCATGTCTATATATGTCGCCAAGCTAGCTGTAAGTGCTTTTCTCCATCCATTTAGAAGTGGGCATGACTTATAGTTGCATAACAAAGGTCAGCKTTTGCGGACTTGGGCCAGGCCCAACCTATTTTTTCTTACTGGGCCCAATACCGCAAACCCAAAGCCCTTTTTTTGCAGGCTTAATAATTAGCCCTAACCCACCCTTCGGGCTAGCCCACGACTAATGAGCCTAAACAGTCTTGCATTTAAATACACAATACCTATGTAAAATGAATCATAAGCGACTAATCATATCTTTCTTTTTCATTCATACGCTACTAGATTGAACGACGTATATACTATGATGAGGTTGAAGGTCTTACCGCAGAATGGCTTGATGTTACATCCACGTTGGTGCTGAATTTTTGTCCAAATAATCGCTCACATAAGAGAGGAACCGCTAGTAGGTTCAAACCAATTGAAGAGGTTGCGATGGTTACCTTTCCATACAACATGGTATCAGAGCCAGATGTATCCGGAGACAGTAGCAACTTGGACTCTGTCACAGAATCCGGCAGCTCAAGGAAGGCAGACATTGAACCAGCTGTCTTTCCCCTTGTGTTACGTCTTCTTTCTACAGTTCCTGTTGCACTTCATCCTATTGGTGGGGATGATGGGCCACTTGATATAGGCGCAAGACTCTACATGACCTCATATTTTCGTTAAATTTTATATCCCAAGTTTAAAACTGCTTATTACAAAGCAAGCGAACGACTTAAACTAGGTCGTTCTTGCTACTGATCAGAGTGCCTTAAGCATTRTACAATTTGATTGGAAGTTGATACTGGTTGGATACAAAGGTAGTTGTAGAAGGATATAGTTTTGTTGGAAGATGTAGATAACAGAGAGAGTAGCTGCTTGTTTTTAAACTGAAGCAGACTACCATGGGCGGTTCATGATGGTGGAAGTGGTGGGGGTGTGCGGTTCATGGTGGTGGTTATGGTCGGGGTGGTGACAGGCTAATCTTATTGTAGGCGAGTTCCGCTCGGTCCAAAGGCCTACAACTTCAAGTCACCTAAAATTTGTGGTGGATTGCTGCCCAGAATTTTTTAGACTTTGGGTTTGCTGATCCTTGTTAAGTTTGTAATTAAAGACTATGGTGTACATTGGTGGGGGTTCTTTCTCAGCTTTTGGATGTAACTTTTAAATGTTCAATACTCTTAACTGTCTTCTTGAAGTTGCGAAAATTGATCTACACACTTGTAAAAGTGTGCGATCTTTTATTTATGTAATATATATACGGCAGATAAACACACACAATATCACTGTTGCATACTTGAGCAAACTGGAATTAGAATGAAGTAGGTTTTAATTTAAAAAAATATGCTGTAAAATAGGTAACAAAAATAATACAAAGTAGGTTAAAATACAAAGTACTGATCAAAGTTGTAAATATGAGCAAATGTGTTTTCATACATAATTATATGAAATAATATAAATGCTTATCTCATATATTTTTCCAAAGTTAAATACATAAATTAATAAATATGCACTTTTATATGAGGTTCAATAAGTATATAAAATACAATGTTTTTAAACCTAATAAAGGCTTAATTGGCTTGGTTTTTCAAACTTTGACCCAATTTAGACAAGTAATGATTTGTGATGGGAAAGGAACCGAATTTTATACYTGCTCCCGATTAAAAGGAAACTGACATAGGCCACAAGAAGCTCAATTATAACTAATCAAGCCAGTTATGTAACTGGTTTCCCTTATCAATTAAGCGCTCCAACAATCAAACAGGTCCATCCTCGGAGCCTAAATAATCGGGACTTCACCTTTCTTGTCTATCATGATTTTAACCTAGATTTAGTCTAGTAATGATAGAAAAAAGTAGCTTGTTTGATCATTTTTTTTAATTATTGTTGGACACATGGCAACTTCTAATTGGGTCAAATTGTGTCCTTTTTTTTGTCTTATTAGACATTTTCATGTATTTTTACACATTTTGTACAAGTTTTCAAAGTTAAGCAGTTAAGTAACTGGATACATAGTTACCATTGGGCCTTACATTTCGATTTGATGACCGGTTATACYATGGACCAACTTAACTAGTTACTAAAGCCGACCCACTTTACCCGGGCCTTAGATAATCGGTTAAGGGGGTTACCCGTTTCTCCCATCTCCAACCGAAAGTGCCTTTAATGGAAAAGCTAAAGGAAAAAGGAATTTTTTCTTCACACACGTACTCTCTCTTTTTCCCTCAAAACTTTGTTTTCTATTAGCACTTAAGAAAACTATACAAGTTAACAATTATTGATATTATATGTTCAATAGTCTCATTACTTACTAACAGTGGCGGAGCCAGGATTATGTACGAGAGGGAGCACCAAACAACATAATATAAATATTAGTTATCCAAAATTGGCAAAAAGAGCGATATTATATTGTTGATGTTCCGAGCTTTATAGATTCAATCGTGACATCAACGAGTTTTTTTTTTTTTTGAAACATATCTATGATATCTTTGTTATCAACCTTAGTAAAAACATATATATCAATWTAAGTAATTAAGCATTAGTTCGTGCATTGATTTCCCATTTTATTTTGCAATCTATTTTTCACCATATTCATAGTTGAGAATGTTATCTCTACTATTACTCGCAATAGGTAATATCACTGTTAATTTTATAAGCAAATAAAATTACTGGTTAATGATTAACGATACGGCATAATCAAATGAGAACCCCATATATTGTGATAATTGTGAAAACTACTATTGTAAGGTATTGTTTCACATTATCTTTTTTCCATCTAAGGCTAGAATTTMATATATTGAATAACATRTATTTGATTCATACTGTGTTTGTTTCATTAGCATTCGGTTCATAATGTAAAACTTTTTAGTTGTATATTTTGTTTCACAAATACATAAAAAAACGTTTAAATTGTGAAACAAATATATGTGAAATAAGTCAAAGACCTTCCAGCCTAGTGGTAAAAGCTTGGGCATGACATAATCATGAACCCGAGTTCGAGCCCTGGGAGGGGAGTGTTGGCGACATTTAAGTGGGGCCATGTTTAGTCTCCAAATTTGCCGGGGATTAGTCGGGCTTTGGCCCGGACACCCTTACAAAAAAAAAATATATGTGAAATAAATATATGAAACAAACATATTGTAAATAAATATATGTTATACACTTAATCTAAATTGTAGATGGAAAAAAATAAAGTGAAATAATACATGATGTATCGATTCTCAATGTTATCACAATTCTATGAGTTCTCAAGAGGCCCCAATATCTATAATTACGTTAATTAAACTAATTCATGAGTATCACATGTAATGAACTATAATATTACTATAATACGAGTGCTCTTAYATAGAATATTCGAACATCTGACATTTATCTAGAAAGTTGATCAAAGTTTATGCTATAAAAGTAGATTCAATTAGAGATGGCCAAATGGGCTCGRCTCGGCCTGGGACCGATTGGGACGGATGGTCCACGACCAGTTACAATATTCCACCCAAAAAAAGTTCGGCCTGGCCGACCCGGGACCGGTTAAGGCCCTGACCCGATTTTTTATTTAAAGTTTATTTAAAAATTTACTTTTAAGTATAYTTTAAATTTATTAATGTATTGTTAAATGTATTTTTAAGTATATTTGATTGGAGACCAAAATGTATTTTTAAGTGTATTTTGTTACGCGTATTATGATCAAAATGCATTTTTTAGTCTATTCGGTTGACCCAGTTAAATATTCTAAAGTGTAATTGATCCATCAAATTATTTATAACAAAAACGTATTTTTTAGTGTTTTTGATTGACCCAATTATAATAAAAACGTATTTGTTAGTGTATTTGATTGATTAATTTCTTCAAAAAATATTTTTTATATGTTAAAARTCAAATTAAAAAAAATAAGTAGGACCGATTTGGACACCAGTCCGAGACCGGGACCAGTTTTCATAACCAAGCCTATGATTTGACCCTGCAATATAGAACTTAGTGAACCGGACATACTATTTTACTGAGCTAAACATCTTCCTAGCACCTGCATGAAGACATCCMTGCTAATTTAGCAAGGGTTGAAATACAAGAACCTCATATATCTTAATCGGGCCTTCTTTTTTTACTGGGACCGGAACCGGAACCGAAACTGGTCCGGATTGTCACTGTTTCGACCGGGACCAATTTAGGCATGACCCGACCCAACCAGCCCGGGACAGTTTTTGGCCTTGTCTAGATTCAATACATCGGGACTCGCGAGACAAAAAGGCAAACTCTAGATCCTTGAAGACCTTTTGGGCCTGTTATAAAAGAGAGCCCCTGCCCTATCTGAAGAAAAACACTTTGTCCAAGAACCACTTGAATTTCAAAGAGGAAGGCCTCGGAATTTCTCTCAATCTCCTCCCATGGCGGCTGTTCCTCTTTCCAATCAATTCTCTCTTTGCACTCCACCTCGTCTTGTTGATGTATCTATATCAAGATCCCCACAATTTGGAACAAAAATTATCACTTTTCAATCCCACCAACACCCTCATATTCGTCATGCTTATAAACCCTTTTTAGGGCTTTCTCAATCTCTCCACTGTTCTTCTCCGGTTAAAATTTGGCGTTCCTTCAAATCCTCGTGTACAGCCAAGGATCCTACTGCTGAGGTACCCTCTCGACCCTCACTTTCAGATTGTATAGAGCATTTGTTGTATTTTAATGTTAAAATGAAGTTGTTTGTAAGTTTTTTTTTTTTGTATCGTACGAGTTTCGTTGGAGTTAACGTATGAAATTGTTGGAATATTTTGAATTTAAAAAAAAAAAATTCCATCTTCAGAATACCAAGGGCTGCTTAAATCATCACGAGGCTATCAGAATTGTCTAACCCYTAGGCTGGTGATAACATAGGCTATTAACCCTGCCTTTAAATTTTGATGATCTTTTTCAGAACTTCATTGAACCATGAGGTGTGTGTATAGGTATGTTAGAAAAATTTGCTATCATTAGGATTTTCTAATTGGTTTTTTGATTCTGTTTTCCAGTGTGTTAAGGAAATAAAACCTCCAATTTTGCCGCTGGGTTAATGGTATATTTTTTCCTGGATAAATGAARCCTAAAAGAATCTTATAAACATATCTAGAATTGTAACCAAGAACAAAATGAACAACAATTATTGATTGTTTTCATTTTTTTATCTTAAAAGGAAACCCACAATCATATAACTGTAAATTTWTATTGCTTAGGACCTGATGTACCCCGAATCAATACAGTAAAAGCAATGCAAGTTTCTGGTTGTATAACTAACAATCGGAAGTTAACAATGGGTTTTCTGGCTTTTGAGAGGCCATGTCTCTCCACAAACTCAYGTCCAAAGGTTTAACAAAACAGAATGCCTATCTACAAGTCCTCACACTCTTATTTGTACTCTCTCTGTGCATTACCTACTTGTACCTCTTAAGCAGTAACTACTTGTATTAGTATAGGGTATAGAATACCCGCCCCCAACTTCCATCTTGTCCTCAAGGTGGAAAAAAATCAAAAAAAGAAACTGATTCCCACGATTTACATCACTGCCTAGTAGTGGTGGTAACAGTGGTTTGRTGGTTCCTGATGAATGTCGTGTACCCAACCATTGGACAACCCTTCACATTGCATCTCTTTGTCCCAAAAATTCCCTTCTATTTTAAAAAGAACTTCACCTTTTGACTTTCCTCTTTACCATTCTCATTTGCATCCATATCCTAGCCCCAAGGCTTGCTTCATGTGCAATTTCTTCTCTGTGAACCATGGCAATGCATCCTCCTCATAGCCTATCACAAAAGGAGTTGTGATTTCGACTATGCTCACAGATGCACCAACAAAGACCAGGGATAAAAGAGTTGGAGAACCTATCACAAAACCCTTGCAAATAGTAGCAGTGTTGTTTCTAGTAAAGGCCAAGGATTTTGTTTGTCATTCAACATTCTTTACTGTCACTTGACAATTCCTACAAATACCAACATTACTTGGACACCATTTAATTTTTCCCTTCTTCCCTTCAATGTCAATATGTCACCATCAAAGTGTTCTTGATAGATTCTAACCGAAAGTGGGTCTGGACTATGCTTCAGTCTAGTTGACTCGCCCCTCAACGACTTCTGAGATAGATCTGGGTTGAGTTCTTTGCGTTGTGTATTTGATGCTTGGTTTTAATTCATCAAGGTCACTGCTGTTAAAATTGTTCTTCTACAAACCTTGTAGGTACTCTTTCAAACCAAAGACACTCGGTAGCCACCATTTGGATACGAGGACAGTCTATTTCCCTTACCTCAAGGGACTGGTTAACTGATATACCCGCTTGTGGATCTCCCTACGGATCCAAAGACTTGAATTTGTCATGCTGCTTCTTTTCTACATGCCATTGTAATAACCATAAAATGCTGGAAACAGTAAATCCTTGTCTACTGGAAGTTTGATGGGGCTGAACAAATTTTGGGGCGACAGTGAAAGGAGGATCATGGGAGTAAGGGCTAAAATCTCGATCCCAACAGATTTTGATACATGTTTTTCGCATAGCCAAGCTTTTCATCGACTTTTGGTCCTTTTGCACTAATCATCAAGTCATCTATACCATCTCCAAAGATTCCACTGTTTTTTTACAACTAAGAACACCCAAAGTTATTGAGAGATTTTGTTGAAGAACGATGCCACGACGGTTGGGTGTTGAATGAGACAAATCATCAGGAGGATCCTCCTTGTGACTCCATCATCTATATTTTAGTGCCTCTGAAATTGGGTCACCTTGGGTCACCACCCAGGTCTCCAACGAGTTGGACCAAGGTTGTTCATACCCTAACACGATTGAACTAAAACATGAGGAACAATCGAATAAACTTGCCCTTGCCTCCTTGGTCGATCATGGAATAGAAGAGAAGCGGTGAAGGTTCATTGGCAATGGCGCCAACACCAACAATGGTGGTTGTAACACCCTAGTTTCTTTATTAGATAAATCTCATTATTTTAGCCTTAAATACAAATATTTATGCATAATCAAGTACTCCAGCAACTGTTACATTTAGTAAAACATCTTAATTATAACATCTTAATTATAAGACTAAGCAAGCTAGTGATGAGTTGTTAAGGTTAGAAGTGTGTTGGCAAGTCTAGTAAGCACGATTAAGCAAGCTAGTGATGAGTTGTTAAGGCTAGAAGTGTGTTGGCAAGTCTAGTAAGCATGACTAAGCAAGATAGTGATGAGTTGTTAAGGCTAGAAGTGTTGAGTTGTATAGATTCTCTTATCCTTAGAGATGAGTTGTCAAGATTCTCTTATCTTTACTGATGAGGTGTCAAACCCTCATAAGAGTACAATCTTAAGAGCAAAAAGAACATGTTGTTAGTGCAATGAATTTATCTATAAATATAGGTTTAAGGGTCACTATTTATGCATACTAAAAATAAGAAATATCTCTATATTTACCTAATTAAGCTTGAAGAAAGGAATCAAAGGAAAAAGTAGGCAAATCAAGGTGAGTACTTATGAGATACATGCATGCTATATATAGAAGTATTTTATGCATTACAAGTTATGTTGGCATGCTTTGTTTTACATGAAAATATTGATACACATACATATTCAAGATATGCATGATGACATATTCTAATACAAGTATACACATAAGACATGAAAATCATTTACATGTTATCATATGTGTTGCACAAGGTATGAAATTTTTTACATGTTTTGTATAACCATAATATCCAACGTACGGGATATTACAAGAAGGAACGTCTTGCAAACGGACCTTATAGGGTAGCCTTTTATGGACCCGGGGGTTAGCAAACCTCAAGACAAGTATGGTATGCATGCATGTGACAAGTGAGATCTTAAAAGAATGTTTTATGCATTATAATAAAGAATAATATTTGTGAATGTTTATGCATGATAATAAATAATATTTTATACATGATCAAGAGCTTTAATGAATTATCATTCACAAAATATGATGAAAATTTCTCATTCATGAAACCATAAATACTCACCAAGTTTATAGCTTATATATCTCATGTATGTATCTCAGGAAAGAAGTAAGGAGGATTTGCATAAAGTAATATGGTTTTAGTTGAAAAGCAAGTTTTGTTGTAATACAAGTTATGGTTACGTTTCCGCTAAGTAGTTTCTTCTTTGATGTAAATTCAAGATATGTATTAAATAAAGCTAAATTTCAAGTTCAGCTTCAAGATTTAATAGTTTTATCATGTAAAGTAAYGACACCCAATATATAAGGACGTGGGGTGTTACAGTGGTGGCAGCGGTGATGGTGGCAACAATGGTAGTATCGGTGGCGGTAGTTTCTGTTGATCACACAACCAATTTATCCTACAGGCCATCCACGATACAGTTTCTATCGACAAGATGATGGGCCATCTTAAGTTTGACAAGGGCTTGGGTTGAATTGTAATAAACTGACTGGACTTGGGCCATACTGAACCAACTTGATTGGGTTTTGATAATATCCCCGCTTTTTCCTTCCTATACTGAATTCTCCCAATTGATCCTGCATTTGCTTCGTTTCGACGGTTGAAGGAAGAATGTTACCCCYGGCGGCCATGACGGAGTGGTCAGTGATGGCGGCAATGACGATGACAGGAGTGGTGCCGACAATTGAGAGGCCATCGCAACGTGGTGACTCTTCAACAACTTTGATATTTGTTGATTTTGGCATTCTTTCAGGAGTGTAACCTTACACGTGAAGGTTTTGATGTTGAGGAGATCGAGAATGGGTTGACCCTCTTGATTTGAACGATCTTCATCCTTCTTCTTTGTAATTACTATTCTGTTTTCTCTTTCTGGATCCTTCTCTGAATCATTTTCCATCTCAGACAGWCAGACGTGGTGATCTTCTTCAATGGCTCACCATAGGATTTGATCAATCGATCCATCAACTTCTTCATAGTCTCCATATTTTTTCTTAGCAATCTGAAGTCATCAACCAACATGCCTTTTCAACCTTTGATTTTAACAGCTCTAGGTTCTAATCTTTCTAGCATGGTGGGGATCGAACTTGCTTTGATACCAATTGATGTATACCAAATCAATACAGTAAAATCGATGCAAATTTCTGAACTCGCAATCAAAAGGTTAACGAAGGGTTTTCTGGCTTTCAAGAGGCTAGTCTCTCCATACCCAATGATTTACAAAACAGAATGCCTCTCTACCAGTCCTCACACTCTTATTTGTACCTCATAAGCAATAACTACTTGTACTACTATCAGTATAGGGTATAACAGAACCTTGTTTCAATTCGTACAAGAACTTTATCAAGTGACAAATCTTTATCAAGAAAAAATCAGTCGTAAAAATTAAGATAAAAACGAGTGATTYGGTTAAAAGATATAGCAATTACTAAAGTTATCTCGAAATTAATAATCAAAGTAACTTCTTGAAAGCTAACACATTTTCATACGAATAATTAGTTGTCAGTTAATTAAATGTAATCTTCAATGAAATATTAAAAAACTGATTTAAATAAATTTAGACTATAATGCTATATTTAAGACACCTATTTACCTCTTCACTGATCTAAATCCTAATTTTACTTTACACCCCAAGCCAAGGTTGTTAGCCTATCATCGCTAGGCTTCTTTTTACAAAAGATGTAAATACTWTAATGTAAATAACAGATATGGA